AAGCAAGATACTGTGCTCATGACAACAGCCCCTTCCAAGCAACCTCAGCCATGCTAGCAAGCGTGTTTGGCTTTGTGATGTGCAATGTACTTCAGTGCATTGTCTTACTTAGTCCTTATAATAACTCTGAAAGGTAGGACATTGGTCAAGACTTGTCCAGTTGCAAGTGACTATAGCTCAAGTCAAACTACTTTAAGCAGAAAAAGAAAGAGAGGTTTACTGGATGATATAATAGAAAGGGTCTGAGGCCAGCTAGACCTCTGTCTCTCTCTCTCTCTCTCTCTCTCTCTCTCTCTCTCTCTCTCTCTCTCTCCTCTCTGTCTCCATTGCTGATGCCTTTTCCATGACCTGGAAAGATGTCATCACACAGCCCCAGGTTTACACAAACAGAGGCCCTGTCTCACAGCTTCCAAGCCAGTCCTGAAGGTGCATTTGGATTGGCTGGGGGCTGGGGACAGCTCAGCTGCAAGTCCATGAGGACTTAACTCTGATGAGCCGACCTCTGCTAGCAAAGACGGTCCCTAGACTGACAGCACAATAGCCTCATGGAACTGGATGTGAGAGCAAGCAAGGCAGACAAAAGTATCTTCTGGTTCTTGAAACAGGTGTTATCATCTCCACGTTATAGATGAGAAAACGGAGGACTCTGCTCGACACAGTACTTGGGTACCCAGGCTGACAGGGGAGGTTCTGGGGTTTGGAAGGCTTGGATTCCAGGCCCATAAAGCAGTGGAAGACAAAGGCAGGAAACACCCACAGCCCTGGCTCACCAGACTGGAGTGCCCTGCGCTGTCTGGCTGCCCAAGGTTAGACAGGGACTGGCGAGCGGGGAAGGGCAGGGCTGGGCTGTGCAGACTGACGCCCTCCAGCACGTCGGCCTCCACAGTCCCTGGCTTTGGCTCTTCTGTCTATCCTCTGGACTGCAGACTCCTCCAGTGCCGCAGAAGCCATGGGAGTGGCAAGAAATACTGGCACCCATGAGTAACAAAGAGATATTCCAGGCATTCAGCTAACCCCAAGAGAAGGCTGGATAGTTTCAGAGCTCGGCAGGTTCCCAGTGCTGGCTAATGTCCTGCTAAAAGGGTCATTTCAGCGGCTGGGTCCCCTCAGGAGCCACGGAGAAGGGAGCTGACCTGGACACTGACTCCCAGTCCCCAGCTCTGCCAGGGCCCGGGCCACCTCTCCAGCGCACGTGTACTCTGAAGCCGAGAAGTGTTTCTGAATTTAGCTCTTCCCATGATTTGAATTCTCATCTTCAGGGACAATAGTCATGTAGCAGATGCCAGTGTGGACTCTCCGGACGCTACCTTGCAAGCCTCTGCTGTTGCTGACATTTGCTGGCCTGAGGTGTACCTCAGATAAGTCCGAGCTTTACTGACACCCAGACTCCTACACACGCCCTCATTCTCGTCGTGAGCCAGACTGTGGCACAAACACCCACCCCGAGCTTGTCCTCAGTGATGGGCTGGCACTCGGCTCCTTTTTCCTGGGACCTCCTCTAAGAACAACCCGGTCTCTCTAAGACAGGCAGGAAACCTGTGACGTTTCCAGGGATACCTGATGGTGTTGGCAATCGTGCTAAAAGGAACGCTTGGAAAAGCAAAGATGTTGAAGCTCTATTTCCGTTCAGAATCCTCTCACCAAGCTTCCTTCTTTCCTTTCTAATGTTGTCCTCACTGAGGGTCCTGCTGTTACATATGATGACTGTGGAGGAGCCACGGACCCAAGCAAACATCCCAAATGCTCCCCTGAATCTCCCAGCCCCGGACAAGCTGGAGACTCTGAACCCTAGCAGAAGCAGTGCCCACCCCGGTGCCTCCTTGTGTCCTTCTCACCGAGCATCGGAGGCCACCAGGAAGGTGACACATGCCAGATCACAAGGCTCCAGGAGAGGGATGTCCTCTCCATGACCCAGGGCATGGGCTAGGAATATTTTAGTGTAGAAGTCACTGAGATTTCAGGATTTGTCTGCTGTGACAGTTGGTATTAATCACCAGACTAATTGAATATGAAAAATGTGTAAAAAAAAAATCAAATGCTTGAAAATTCACACAATAGACTTTTATGCTTTTTTAAAGAATGCACTGTGCTCCAAAAGGGCTAAAACTCAGTGCATAACCCCCAGTACCTCTGCAATTATTTTCAGGTGTCTCTTACTACGTATATCAGAAATGTGCATTTTTAAATGTTCTTTTCTTTCTCAACTGAACACAGAATTGCTTGGTGTACAACAGGATGTCCCACGTTTGACATTATTAATACCTCCAACATAGGTCTTAAGTATATTAACTTAAGGAGGTTACACTTCTTAATTGTAGTCTCAGAACATGTACTTTTTCATTTCCCATTTATTTTTATAAAATGATTTAAAAAATTAAGTTAAGAGAATACTCATAAAATTGCCCACATGGCTAAAACTAAACATGATGATTGACAGATTGGGCCAAGGGGTGATGGCTTCAAGTTTTAGATTTACAAAATTCCAACTCAGCGCAGGAACAGGGGCTGAGAATTTAGTGGTGACCCCAGGTGGGAGCTCCCTGTGCTCCAGAAAGGCCTTCCTGCTCCCACTTTGCCCGACTCAGTGTGGGCCCCGCACAGCAGAAAGCATGACCGTTTGAAAGTGTGAGTCAGTTCACATCCCTTCCTAGTCCTTCACCCCCACTGGCTTCCCCTTTGGAATCAACACAACACTCAACTCCCCTCCCACATCCACGAGTACTGGCATCACCCACTTCTCCACCACACCCTGCCCAGAGCTCTTCCTCTTACTCCCAGCTGATTTTGAGATTTCTCAAGCACATCCATTTATTCCCACTTCAAGACCTCACTGTTCTCCATGCATCAAATGCTCACAAACCAGATCATCCCTAACATTCAGGTCTTTTCTCAAATGTCATACCTGCAGAAACACAAATTTTAAATCACCCAAACAATAAAAATCTCCTCTCTCTCTTTCTCTCTCTCTCTCTCTCTCTCTCTCTCTCTATATATATATATATAAAATAAAAACAGCTGTGAAAGACATTTCTGACACAACTGAGGACAATTTTCATTCTGTTACATACTAAATACTGTTTCTATGTCCTATTAAGAATCATAACAGCATTGTGGTTACACAAATAAAGATCTTGATCTTGGGAAATATTTGCTAGAATTTAAGGACAAAATTTCATGTTGTCTGCAACTTACTTTAAATGGTTCAACAATGAAAACCCACACATGTGTAAATGAACATGTACATAGAGACAACACAGAAGAAGGTGAGAAAGAAAATATGGCATAATGTTAATAATGGGTGAATTTAGGTGATAAGAAAATGAGTGTTTGTTTTATACTATCATTTTAACTTTCTATAGATTTGAAATTGCCCAAAAGAAAAAGAAAAGAAAAGCTTAAGACATCTCCATCCTCCACTTTCTTCCCTTTTTTCTTGCTTTATTATCTAGAAAGTACCAAAAATTCTCTAAAATTACATTTTTATTTCAGTGATTATTGGATCTTCTTCCCCCAGAAGTCCCAGGGAGAGGAGCTTTTGTAGGTCTAGCAAACTCCTTTACCCCAAGCACCTAGACCCAAGCAGCACTCATGAACAGTTAGTTGTTCAATGAGCGAACACACCCCTGGCCCACCCAGCACCTTTGCCCCAGCCTCCTCAGGATGAGTTGGGTAAAGGTGACTTGAATACCTCCAACTCCCCGACAACCACAGGGCCCCCAGCAACCAATAAATCTGATCCAAGTGTCCACTCTTAGTGCAGAGCCAGATAGCCTCAGCTGTACTGGGCACATTGCAGAGGTCCATGTACATCAAGGATGACTGGGAGAGCCTTTCTCACTTTACGAAAGCGTTGGGGTAAATAGCATCCTACTGGACCCTCGGGTCACTCCTGCAAGGCAGATGACGTTCTTTTTTTTTTGTCTTTAAGCCTTTTATTATTTCATAGGAAACATTTTCTAAATGCATTGGTCCTAGAATTGAAGTAATGGAGACCTGAGAACCAGAGAAAAAAGTCTTAAGTTATCATAGGCAATGAAGAGATTGAGTTTGGCTGGGGTACGGTACTGCGACTTGGAGAGAGATGAAGGGAAGGAAGCCCTGGCTGGAGAAATGGACTTGGGTCTGAGTTTCTAGGAGAAAGGAGAAGATACTCTTTGTCCTTTCTGCCCGGGTGGATGGTGACAAGGCTGGGCAGTTGAAGATCACTGGACTGCAGAGCAGAAAGAAATGCCATCTGCCACTTCTCCCTTTGACATTTTTTGGGTGTGCCTAGCAAGGACACCTGCTCATTTGCTTGTGTATAGCTCAGAGGAGGAAGACGAGGCAGCCTAGATGGGACCCAGGTGTGAGGAACACATCACATCGAATTCAGAATTTTCAAGACCTCATCAGTAGCTTGGATTAAGTAGGAAGAAATCAAGAGAAAGACAAAAGTTTCAGCAACACCATAAGCATTTTTTCACTAAGAATTCTCATTTAAACACAATTATAAGAGACTTCCCAGTAAGTTCCAATATATTCAAATACATGAATTGTTTTCCACATATCTGGCCAGTGATTACTTGGAAGAAGGTAATGTGAAAATATATAGAGTATTAGCTACTCCTAAATGCTTAAAGAAATATATATTTCAGAAATGTAGGACATGGAGGCTTTCACTGAAACAGAAGCCCATAGGTATAAAACTTCAGTAGAGAGAAGAAAAAGAAAACAGAACAAAACAGAGTGGAATCATTAACCAAAAACTGTGCCCTAATGGTTAATAAAAAGTAGAAAAGAATTTTTTATGCATCTTAACTAATATCATAAAACAATGACCCTAGTTAAGGTGAATGCTTTTCCTAAAACAAAAAGCAACTAGCATAAAAGTCACAAAAACTATAATCAACAAATGAATGCATTTTACAAAATAACTCAGAAAGTTTAGTGAAAAACTATGTAAATAACTTGTTTTATAATTAAAGATTTTAATCTCCAGTGCATTACAATAAGTAAATGAATTCTGAGAAATTAAACAAAAGTATTTGGTGGATTTGAGTTAATGGGCCAAGCAAGCTTCTTTTCCTTGGCTTCTCTGTCAAATGAATCATAGATTGAGTCTTTGGTTATAGTTATGGCCATGGGAGGGGTTTCTGAAATGCCAACATAGTTTTTTTTGGCCCTCCTTGAACTTGTTGTGATAGTATAGGCATTGCTTTGATAACATTTCATCAAGGACATGCAAAAAGTCTCTTTAATCCCCCTCCTAAAATTGGCATTATAAATTGAGTAAAGAGTAGGTTTAGAGGCTGAAGAACTAAAGGATATCCATGTGATCGCTGTGAAAACAAGGAAACTTTTCTTATAGTCTTGTTCATGGGGGTGCCAGAGCTGAGCTACATGAAAAGGCAGCCAGGAGAACAAAAACAAGAGATTTAAAATGAGGAACATCTTGACCGTTTTCACTTTTGTCCTTGGGACAATGTTCATTGTTCTCCTCGCTGTTCGACCATCAGAGCCTATTCTCCAAATATACTTTATGACCCTCTGGTAAAACAAGATTATGAGCACAGATGGAATTACAAAGCCCACTAAGAAGTGGATGACAGTGTAGGCAGTCCCTTCCCAGGAGGAAGGGAAGAAATAGTTACAATGACTGTCCCAGTTGGAGCCGTAGAAAAAGAGGACCAGGGTCACAAAGGCTGCATCAAAGATCCAGGACGCTGCAGTCATTTTCTTGGCCTTTTCTCTGGACACCTTGAAGCTCAGTGGGTAAACAATGGTGTAGAACTGGTCTATGCAGATGGAGAAAAGAACATAGATCTGGACACCTGGAGTGAGATACTGAAAATAGCGTACAACCTTGCACATTGCACTCCCAAGTGTCCACCTTCCAGTGGTGACTTGGAGCAGGACAAACGGAGTGCTGGCCACACTGACGAGAAGATCAGCACATGCCATGGAGACCACAAAGTAGTTGGTGGTGGACTGAGTCCTCCTACTCCTACGGATGACCAAGCAAACCAAGGAATTGCCAAAGATAGAAAACAACAACAGAGTCCCAAAGAAAATGCTGGCTGTGGCCACTTCCCCGGGTTTCAGTCTGTATCGAAGGTCTGTCCTGTTGCCCACCCTCCTGTGCGCCTCATCACATAATTCCATCAAGTCATGGCTTGGCAGAGGTGTGGCTGTTTCAGTGCAGCTGTGGTTCTGGAGGGGCACCAGAAGCGAAGGAACAACCAAAGGTGGCTTGATGTTATCCATTCTGTGAGCAAAAACCACATTCACTTTTTTTCTCTTAGTTTTTTTCTATTACTAAATGTATCACATTTTCTTGTGTTCATAGATTTTTTGTACCAGGAATCGAACTCAGGACCTTGCACTTTCAAGGCAGGCGGCAGCACCACTGAACTAAATCTGCATCCCATGTTCATAGATTCTTGAATCCATCTTGATACCTTTAAGATCTTTAGATGTTGCAGAGCAAAATCCAGTGCTTGTGCAGCTGTTCCATGTATCCTTAGTTCATCACATCCTCTCAAGGTCTTTGGGAAGAAAAAAAACCCCTAACACCCCTCAGGTTTATTCCCTTATGCTGTCCCAGAGTTATCTTTACAAACACTTAAAACTCTTATTTTTATAGCGAGCTCTCCCAACTTCTGCTCCTTTCCCACTTAATTCGTTGAAATGTCTCAGAGTTCATAGTCAATATACAAATAAGTGGAGTTTTGGTGAAAATCTCGAAGAAAGCGGTGTTGTGTACTTGAATCCAGAGTATCGACATGACGAACTTCTCAACCCAAACTTGGTTGCCTCCTCTCCCAGGTGATGTTCTTATTAACAGAAGAGGGAACCACACCTGGGAAGGGCACACATGGCTTTGTCCAGTGCTCGGTGACAGGTACAGACTGCAGTAGGATGGAGGTTCCGGCGCTGGTTTTGAGCTAAGCGTTCGGGTCCTTTAAGGCAAGTGCGTTGGCTTCTTAGCCCACCAGCTTGCCCTCTGCTCTTCCGCCCTCATGAAGACAGTCGACTCTCAGAGCGGGTGGTCTCAGCGTCCTGACGTCACCACCTGATGACGCCCAACACTGTGAGCTACAGAGAAATAGAACCCTGCTTCCATCCCTACTTGGGAGGGCTGCAAAAAACTGAAAAGAAATTTCAAGCACAGCAAGGAATCGAATTGCCACCCCAGAGGTTCACCAAGGGAGCCCACCACAATCCTGAAACTTCTTTGAAGGCTCTATTCCCGCCCGGTACCGGGGATGAAACTCGGGACCTTTCCCTTGCAAGGTAAGCGTGGCATCAGTGAGCTAAATCCCCGCCCCATGAAGGCTCCATTTTAACTTTTTGCAAACAATTCCATCTCTATAATATGTGTGCTTATTTACAATAATTATTTTCTCTGAAAACATTCCACCAGTAGGAGAAAAAGGACGCTTTCTTCAGTCATTGAAGATAATAATTACCCCTAAACAAGAGTTCCCAGGTGGTTTTGCGGTTTTGTGGCAGCAACACATCAGCAGCTGGGAATTCTGGGCTGGGGTGGGGGGTAGCTCAGTGGGAGCTTGCTTGCCTGACATGCAGAAAGGCCCAGGTTCAGTCCACAGTCCACAGAGAAGACGTAAGGCATTCCTCTGTGCTCCCTTTTCTTAATTGCAATTAAAACGTCTCCAGGACTATCCTTAGATCTCCCTGGAAGGACCCTGGGTCTTGGGATTTCTGCGGACAGCCTGGGGCAGCTGCTTAACCCACTACACGTGGTCCTAAAGTTTGGCTATGAAGCAGTTTCCCTCAGCATCCCTTATTTTCATACTGACTTCCATTATAAAAGCAAAAATGTATTCTCACAGGAAGAGACAATGTAGCCCCAACATGTAATTTTGAAACAACTTTATCTGCAAGAAAGCTTTTTGTAAAAAAAAAAAAATATTTAAAATGAAAGTGTTATCATTTTTGATAAAGCAATCCAAACTAAGTCACCAAGAGAACAAATAGTGTGCTAACTCTTAAAACACTGTGCTAGGATCTGTATTTCCTTACACTATAGGTTCCAGGAAAGGAAATCTGTCTATCGTGTTCTCTGGACTTTATAATTGGCCTGTGGCTGGTTTTAAAGGGGTAAAAAAAATCTGGTGCAATGCTAAACATCTTTAAATGTGCTAATTAAGGCTGATCTCTTTGGGAATCCATGCCATTGATGTGTTTGATTAATATTCTCTGTGCTTTCTTTAGTGTGAAAACAGGCTTCTTTGCATAATGTACATCTCTGTAACTAATTTTTTCCTCTGGGACTTGATTTCCACAACCATTGTGCAATTTCTAGTTTTCTGATCTCACAGTCGAAAAACTAATAGTCAGGTGATCATGAAATTAAATAATTTTTGAGGATCTTTCCTAAACTATTAAGTGAGATAGGACAACCACGAAGGATAACTTGTCAAAGTATGCTTCTTCCCATCAGAGATATGCCTAGCAGCACCTGTGAAGAACCCAACCTAAGAGAACAGGGTCAGTGTGTAATGTAGAGAATCCGTTAAAGAAGCTTTGGTCATGGCTGGACTCAGCTACCAATCAACAGCACTCTATAGTAAGTAAGGTGAGCTTTTCTCAAGAAATGACATGCAAAAAAGTGGCCAGAATTTAAGGAAATCAAGAAGAGTTGGTGCATGTTTCCACAGGGAGGCCACAGGTGGGAGAGAGAGGACAATAGGGAGATAAGAACCCTGTCCTCCTTCTTCTTTGTGGTCCATTGTCTGCTGGTTTCTCCATTGGTCAAAGCCAACAAATGTCAAGGGCAAGGGTACCACTATTGTGTCTACCTGGGTACCAGCGTCTTCCAGCCAGAGACCTCCAAGGACACTCCCATACTTGGACGCTTACAATACATTGCTCCTTACAGTAAGAGCATCATGGAGAACTTTGAAAAGTGTCACTAAGTGATATTCTAGTGGGCTTATTTCTAGGACTTGGCTTCATGGTGAGAAGCTTGGGGAAGGCTGGATGAAGGGAAAGGCTTTGCCCTACACTGAGTGCTGCCAGGAAGGAGGCAATAGCAACTTCATCACCGGTTATAGCTTTAGCCTCACTTCATTGCTCCCTCATTCTAGATAAGATTTATTGACTGCCTAATCCTAGAACTACTTCTCCTTCTCCCTCTTCAAATTAAAATGGCCGTGTCTGTGGCTTGGACGATGCTCCTGTTTCTGTGAGTGTTCCAACAAAATTACAGAGGGATCTGGTTGTTACCTTGATCCACCCTGACCGAATGTGGAGGTTCTGTGAAAGTCTGTGTTTCCACAGGGGAATCTCAAGGCCTCATTGATAGTACCAGGCCAGGTCCTGGACAACAGAAGCTTCTCTGCTCTTGCTCACAGATCAGGGTGGGTGTGAATGAGCGAGTGTGGTATCCGTTACCCAGAAGTCACCACATCTGGTTTCAGCAGGATGTGCACCATTAGGTCACCTCTCTGAGCCTGGCTCCTGTGAAGTTGTCCTTGAAAAGAAAAGTCACTTGCGAAACACTGGAGTTCCACATGCTTGGCCTTGGCCTACCTTGTAACAGCAGTTGACACACACGGAAGAACATGTCACATACTCTCCCACGTCACCCTGGGCCACCAGGCATCGTGCAACTTGGCACCTGAGGGCATGAGTAGCTCTCAGAGAGAGTCTGTCAGGGCAAGGAAAGAATCGCATCCCAGCACCTGGTGGGAACTTTGGATGCCCTGCAGGGATGGACAGCTCTTGAGCAGGGGAAATGCTGCCTGGGGACACCCAAGTATCCACAGAGAGCTTCCAGAAAGCTGCGGTCTTGAGTTATGCGGGAGGAGAGGAGCCAGTGCTGTCTCAGTTTACCATTAGTACACCTCTGTTACTATCCATGCTCTGCCGAGGCCTGGGCAGACCTCACTTACATGTACAACCTCTTATACATAAATCAGCTAATTTTACATGAACTTCTTCTGGAGTTTGGCAATGATGCACCATGCACTTTTAACAGCTTTGTGCAGCATTCTCAACCTGTAAGTGTGGATAATCATACTCACTTATTTATAAAGTTCTTTGAGGTTTTTGGATGAAAGCCTCTCTTAAAGTACAAAGCATTAATTTTTTGCGACAGAGTAATCTATGAGAAATGAACATGAAGCAATATAAAAATCTTTGTGTTATTTCTTGCTGTAAGTTTTTAGTTGCTTTCTTTACAGAGTCACAAAAGCCAGTCTCCACAAGATCTGGAGTTTGAGATAACGGAACTAATAAAGGTACTGTAAGTATAAAATCCTAGATGGGCTTGAGTCAGCTACTCCTTTTGAAGATGTGAGAAATAAATTGATAGACAAAGCATTTTGTACAAACAAATTCATTTCAGTAAGTTGTGCTGATAGTCTTGAGCATATGTACATGGGCCTCTATTTTTAGACTCTGTATATCCATTTTTTGACCAGGACGAGTAAGCGAAGCTGTAGCAATAGTCAATCATTACAAGTAACCAGACCACAAGAGAAAAATGTGCCAGTTGCTAGGTGATGACTTTCAATCTATCATCTTAGGCAATAAATATAAGATGAAGTTATGAGGAAAGAAGCTATTCATAGCTAAAACTTTATCTAAAATGGCTATTATTTATTGCAAGGGACTGAAATCGGATGAAGCTGAGAAACCCAACGTACCAACCCAGAAGCCAGACGCCACATGACACAGACATATTTCAAGGACAAATCCAAAGACAGATAGGAGCCCAGGGTTTAGGGGGTGAGTGGAAAGAATAAATGACTGGAAATCAAGACACAACCCTGTCACTTATTAATATGCTTTAAATTATAAACATGAAAAGGAAAAAATATATTGATTCAAAATCCAGAAGTTTCCTATTTCTCAAAAGGAAGAAAATTCTAGCAGTTCCACTCCACTAAAGAGCAAGTGGCGATCATGTACTTGACACAGCAGCACACACAGATGCTATATAGTGAGACCCGAGCCTAGAAATATAGGTAATGTCAAGGGGACTATCAGACAACAGCACAGGGCATTAAAAATCATTGGATAAAACCAATGGCTGGATTGAAGCAAGCCCTCAATGCTAGTTGTATGATTAATAATTGCATAGTGTTGCGTATTCCATAAGATGTGTGCCTTGCTCATTCCGTAAGGTAAGGATGCATTTGATTTGATGAGTCTCAGATATCTAACACCCAGCTGAGAATTACGAAGCACAAGAAGCCTTGCCTCAGAACCTACTCCCCTTGCCAAGCCCGGCAGTGAGGGGCACGGCTCTCATGCTTCAGCACGGGGAGCTTCCTACACCCGGTTACGGGCCCTACTGCTATTTCCCACCCGGGAGGTCTGGGTGAGGGAATTCAGATTTCTGATGAGGCCCAGTTTGATGCCAGTGCTGTGAAGCACAGTTTGAGGTCTGCTTATCTAAACGATTAGGATGAAAGATAATTAAAACCATGAAAGAAGATGTCAGGAATAGGTAGCCACGCCACTGTGCTCCGAATCTGCTGTTAGACGGTACTCGGTGTACATGGTGCTATGCGTATGCATGATGATGGTGTGGTTCATAACAAGAAATGTACTGATGATGTATGTGATGATCTTTGCCCCTTGGCGCTTCCTCAGCAGTAGTAGGTGCTCGAGGACAAGGTTCTGTGCTGATATTTGGTCTCGGTTCCTGACAGAGCTGCTGATCCCTTGGGACACTCAGGGTGACCACCGTGTCTACCGTTCCAGTCAGGTGACTGTTGGTGAGCTCCTGGATGGACACTGTCACCAGAGAAGCCTGTCCATGAGCAGAAGCTTGGGATGTTCAGCCCCAGCTCCCACTCTCTGGGACAAGAAGGGGACCTCCAGAGCGAGTTAATAATCAGTCGTGCCTACATGATTGTCTTAGTTACTTTCTCGTCGCTGCGACATAATACCAGGTACTCATAACTTAAAGAAGGAGAGGTTTATTTTGGCTCACAGGTGACTGAGGTTTCAGCTCATAGTCCACCGGCTCCGAGGCAGGACAGCTTGGCAGGGGACTGGCAGAGGAGAGCTGCTCAGGGCATGGCTGTGGGGAAGCAGAGAAAGAGCAAGGGAAGAGTGGAGAGGGAGAAAATCTCTGCCAGCCCAACCACCCCTCAGGGACCACCTCTTTGATCAGACCTGCCTCCTGACAGCAAGTCAGCCATAAATCCCCTGATCACCTCTCCAGTACCCCACCTATGAGCACATGAGGCTCTTGGGGGACATCTAGATATGAACCCTAACAGTGATGAGGTCTCCGTGAAAATCCCGGAAAGACCAGATTCGAGGCACTGCCAGGCGGATGAAGGTGGAGCACCCTAAGAAGGCGTGGAAGCTTCACCCTCCTTCCCCTACCTTGCCTATTCTTCTCTTCCAGCTGGCTGTTTTTGAGTTGTATGTAGCCTTTTATAGTAAATGGGTAGACATTTGTAAAGTGCTTCTATGAGTTCTGAAGTCATTGGAGTAAGTGATCTAAGCCCAGAAAAGAATCATGGAAGCCTCAAATTTACATCGTGGCACAAGCCACAATGTGGGGCCTGAGATCAGCATCTGAAATGGGGACACTTCTGTGGGAGTCACCATTACCTAGGGTTTGCTGCTGTCTCCAGACAGACAGTATCATGATGGAGGTAAACCGTAGAGCACACAATTTAATTCTCTGTCGGTGTGTGCAGGTTGGAGCCTTGTCGGCTCTTTCTACTTCACCGTCTGTGTCTCTTCCTTCTTCACCTGCTAACAGCAAAAGTAACATTTTCTGGTAGGAAAAGCTTGAAAATGAACTGAAACCAGAAGGAAGAACACAACATTCAGAGCAGCCTGAGGTCTTTGAGAAAAGACAACACAGCCTGACTCTCTTAGGCTG